AGGAGTCGGCGGGAAGGTAGGACAGGAGATCGTCCAACCTGGCCTTCAGCTTCGAGTCCAGCGCCGAGCAGAAGCTCTGCACGCACGGCGTGAGCGCCTGGGCCTTCAGGGAGAGGCCGCTCTTGGAGAAGTGGCCGCGGTTTGCCACGTTGACCCACGCGGCGTCGGAAGGCAGGTCACCAGAGCTCTCCGACCACAGGAACAGGGCCACGTTGTGTTCAAACTGGATGTGCTTGCTGAGGGCAGAGGCGCTAGGTTTGACTTCAAGTTCCTGCAAGGCTAAGGTGAGAAGCTGTTTGGAGCTGCTCAAGATGGAGTCAAACCCTTCTTTGGTCAGTGTCTGGAACAGAACCAGGAGGGGGAGGAAACAAACAAAAAAAGCACTTTTTACAAGTGCCTCTTGCCACCCAGCACTTAAAATACACACTTAGTGCCGCTGAGACACCAGTTTGAGCCAACAGGAGGGGGCACAGAGGAAGGCTCCCCACAAGCACCCACCTCTAGCCTGTCCAGGAACAGCTGCTGCAGCAGGTCCTCCCAGAAGGAAGCGGGCTTGTCCAAAAGGCGCCGGCACACTGCCTCCCAGTGCTGGCTTACGGCCTCGCTGGTGAGCAGCTCCCACACGGCGTCGCGAATCCCCGCGAGGCCCTTCATGCTCTTCACGTAGACGAGCAGGTTGCTCACCCCGGCCCTGATGTCGTCGCTGCACCTGAAGGCAACGTTTCGCTTCAGTTGGACTCGCTCAGACACAGCCCCGGGGAAGGCAGGAGAGAACATAGGCCACATCGAGGCGGTGGAATCCTTAACCTGTCGGTAAGGGGCTCTGCCAGCAGAATCACCTGCGGGGCTGAGGGCACCTCTGCCTCTCGGCCAGGCAGCTGCACCCTGGATCCCACACCGGGGCCCCGCAGGAAAGCCACGAGCCCACCGGCAGGACCCCTGGCCTATGGTGGGTGTGGAAACTGGGAGCCCAGTGTCCCAGGGAAGCTGGCAGGCAGGGACTGAGGGTAGGCAGGGGCTCTGGGAAGGGTT